TTTTTTTTTTTTTTTTTTTTTTTTGCAAAATAGTTTAAACAAATTTTAGGTGACTTCACATCTTTCAATAATGATATATAAAATTTTAGGGAAAAAATCTTTTTCACCCCATAACAAAGACAAATTAAGTTTTTCACACCGTCCAATAAAAAAACTAAGTTTTCACCCCAAAAAGTACGAAGGTTATGCGAAAACTGTCGCATATTCATCGCATAACTGTCCGTATGCGAAGGTTATGCGAAAAACTGTCACATAACTGTCGCATATCAATTGCATAACTGTCGCATATTCATCCCACAATGCCTTCGCACAGTTATGCAATTGATATGCGACAATTATGCGACACTTTTTCGCATAACCTTCACATATGGACAGTTATGCGATGAATATGCAACAATTTTCGCACAACCTTCGCACAGTTATACAATTGATATGCGACAGTTATGCGACAGTTTTTCGTATAACCTTCGCATATGGACAGTTATGCGATGAATATGCGACAGTTTTCGCATAACTTTCGCACTTTCCGAGGTGAAAAACTTAGCTTTTTATTGAGCGGTGTGAAAAACTTAACAATACTTCAAAACGGGGTGAAAATAGATATTTTCACTAAAATTTTAGATACTTTACATACATTATATAATATTTTAAACATACATTTTTTTTATGTTATTTTATACAAGATAATTTTATATTGTTTACAACTAATATACGATAAATTATGTCACACATTAACTCCACATCGTAATTTATAATTATTAGTTAATATTGTATACTCTCATATTTACCTAATAATTATTAGTTAATATTTTTTACCATCATCTTTAATGTATAATAATTATTTAATATTGTTTACTCGTGCATCGCACGGACTACACACTAGTTAGTTTCAACAAAATAGGCAAGGGGATCCACTGGTTACAATACAACATGACCAAATAAGCCGTTATGTCATATAACCCTCAACAAGCTTCTAAAATAAAAATTCCACGGTCTCCCCAAAAAAAACCATGGACTGTGAACCAAGTTTAACCTTTCTCACTACACCATCTGGTATTTACAGCAGATTTTATTTGTAATTCGCACCAAGCGTGTAAGAAGTACCCACGTGTCACAAAGCTACAAGTTCGATTACACTCTAGTTTTTTCTAATTGTTTGCATAACCAAATCTTAGTTAAATTTCATTTCAATATCACTGTCGTCGTCAGCTGTATTTTCGGGAAGGAGGCCGAGTAGAGGCAAAGGCAGCAATGAGCTGAGATTGCAAAGGATTATCAGAAAAGTTAAACTGTCAAATTTATCCTTTGTGACGCCAAATAATCGAGTTAGGCCGGCTCCTATTAGACCCCCGAGGACACTACCACCATTGGAAATCGACATTAGGGTCGCAAACAGAGTCGCCTCCATGCCTTCTGGGCATAGCTTTGCCGCTAAGACTAGAACAGGCATGAATGAAACCTACGAAAGAGACTCGTCATTAAAATGCAGACCCCCAACTATTCTCATTCAAATAACAGGGGATTAGGCGAATAAAATCACTGAGTTTTGGTAAAACATATATGAAAAAAATACAAATAAGAGCAATTTCGTATGAAGTTATAGATATTCCCTTGAACTACATGTTTCTGCCTTACACAGTATACGCCATTTTGAGATTGTACGGTGAGTACTAAACTAGAGGAGAGATTTGTAATTTAGAAGAGAACATAGTTTGTTTTTCGGGTGTGCAATTTAAAGTAATACTTTGAGGGAGTTTTGTGATCATCCTTAGGCATATGGCAAAACTTGTTTTAAGATTGTCTGGCGGATCAAGAAATGAATTTTAGTTTCAGGACCGCATGATTCTATTCTATCAAACCACAACAAATACCATAATTATCAAAACATACAGAAGCACCAGTCCAAGAGCTGTGAACATAATTTTCAAGTTTTTTTTTTTTTAATTTTTATTATTATTTTTTTTATTCATTTTAGGATATTGAGCTTTAGGGGACAGCAAAATTCAATCAAACCACAATAAATTAACATAATTATGACAACAAGCAGAAATACCTGGCCAAGAACTGTTAAAATCAAGGAGTCGCCAATTGCGAACCACTCGTCGCTTATGCCAAACTTCCGATTCAATCCAGTGACGAGGATAACCTAAAAGATAAGGAAGCCCACTTTAAATTCAAAATACGAAATGAAGAAGACACAAATAATCCAAATTGACTATGAAGGGGCATGGAACCATACTTGAGTCATCCCAAGAACTGAACCGATAACAGTAGTCACCAGAAATATCTTCCTCAAACGAACACCTTTCAAGAACCCGTTATAAAACCCAACACCGACCAGTGACGCAATGGAAGTGACAAGTTTCACGCGTCCCAGAAATTCAGGGGTAAATCCAAGTTTATTTGTACTGGAAATGAAAAAATTCTACAAATTGTCAGGAAAGACAGAGTATAGATATTTTCAAAGAGTAGCATTGAGTTTTGACATGATTAAAGAAAATCAAAAAGGAAAACAAGAAAAAACCTTAAAACCTAATGTTTAAAATTTTAATAATATTTGGTTAGAATGTTAAAATGAAGGGACTAAATATAATATTTTTATACATATGGGGATCTAAAATATTTTGTGGACATAAAAATCATAAAGATAGAAAAAATGTTGTTCTGTAATTGGGTCAAACTCAAGGGTACTTTTTGTAATTCATCTATTATGTACCAAGTTAAAGATCAACCTACATGAAATAAAACATGGCAGAATCAGACTGTGGTGTTGCTTGCCACAAGAAGATAAATAAGGTAGGAAGAAACACATTGGGTTGCTTTACGGCATCCCATAATTGAATTAAGCTATTTTTCGAGCTTCCTACACAGGCAGTAGAGTCCAACAGAATATTAAGTCCTCTTCCCGAGCCATGGAGTGGCTGTTCTTTCACAAGGACCGCAACAGCAGATGTTATCAAGGGAAGCAAAGCTGTTAATTCAAAGACAAATCTGCAAATATTAAGATGTTCAGGAGTTGAATTTATGCAAAAACTTGTGCTTTTAGAGGAAATCATTAACAAGAAGGGAAGAGTAGCCTGAAAACACATTCTTGGTAATTTGAATAAGTTTGAGTTTCGGCTCTTATACTTATGATGTCAAGAACTCCAGCAAAACTAGAGATCAAATCATCAGTGGAATCAGAATCTAAAGCACACCTATGGCTAGCCCTACTACAAGAGTCTGATTACATTATGTAAAACAAGGAGCAGGTTCTTTTTATTTAAAAAAAAAAATAATAATAATAAAAGAAATAAGGATGTTGACCAAATTGTTTTCAACTCGCACATTCCAATTTTCATCTTTCTTCTGGTAAATGAGATTGTGTTCATTTCAGAGTTTTTATTGAGAATTAACACTCCCAGTTTCTACATTTTAAAAGAAACTAAAAATTTTGACTACTTACGAAATAAATCGCCATTATCTTCACCCAAATTCATACAAAATGTACTCTAAATTATTTGAATCTACGTTGGAAATAGAAACATTCACACTTATAAAATATTTTCATTTTCCATATGAAAATCAAGCAAAAATACCAAACACATTTTCCATTCATTCTTCCGTCACTAGGGATTGAAACTTGTACTAAAACTCCATACAGCACCTATTATTTATGTTGCCTCAAACAGAAAGATTATAATCACTTTTTAAGAGTGTTGGAAAACTAAAATCAGAATAGAGAAAAAAGAAGAAAAAATGTAGACTATTTCACTGACCTCACACCATAAGCACCCACCAAGGAGCCACTGAAGTAGGAGCTTACAATACCACCAAAAGCAGAAGAACCCCAGCATAAAGACTGAAGCGAACCAGACACAGTTTGTGATTCACCACGCGCCCTCTCCACAACCATAGAGTCGACAACCTGTACGTACGCTTTATCTCAACAAGTTAGCTAGAAGACGTAAAAATAAAATAAACAAATACAGAACAACTAGGGTTTTACCGACTGTTTTTTCTAAAGTACTTGCACTAAATATTTTTGAAAGCAGACTTAAAATGAATACTGAACAGGAATCATTAGCTCAATGAGAGTCTTGCTTTTGCACGGCTGAAGTAAGTCGTACTGTTTGGAACAAAATACAGAACACGCAGGCACATTCAAACTAGACATCCCAATGGAAAAATCGAGAGTAAAGTAAAACCCTACTCATTAAGAATATTCCATGTTTTCAAAATAGTTATATAAACTGAACTGAATCAACTAAAGAGTGGATTTACATAAACTCTGTCGTAAACAGTATAATTTCAGATGCCTACCAATCAATCTAATCAGCAACATTGCTATTCAACGGAGATGAGAAACTTATTGACAAATATCATACAATAATATTAATTGACTTATCAAGAAATATGCTAATCGAGATTTCAGAAAGAAAGCAGGCACACATGATGAATTCATAAATTACAGTAGTAAGTAACGCAATCCTATGCGTTTTGTTCATAAATTACAGTAATAAGCACTTACTACATCAGAAAAAGCAACTGAGAGAGATCCTAGAAGTATGCAAAAGGCAACGCCATACTTGCTGTCGACAATGGTAGCCATCAAACTCCATGAGAACGCTCCTAAGAGTCCAGACAATACCAAATATGACCTCCTTCGATAGCCACAGAGTGGAAAGGAATCACTGGTTTAACATTCATTGTTAGTTACAGAAATTTTAATCCAATAAGTATAGGATAAACTGAACAAAATATTCAAATTTACATTTGGACATTTTCGGCACTTAAAAATAATGACTTGAATAAATTAAAATGAAATTAAAGATTTAAAAAAATTAGAAGCTGGGATGCACCTGATGAACCCATACAATGGTTTGACAAGCCAAGGTAAAGACGATACACCAGATATGATGGCTGTCTAGTCAACCACAAAGAATTGCAGGTTCTTTAAGTGTATTCTCAGAAAACAAAAGAAAATAAGAAATTAAAGAAAACAAAGTAAACAGAAAACAAAACTAACTTTCTTGTTTAAAGTATACTACGCCAGTTATCATTCATAATGTAATGTAACATGCTCATTTACTTCAATTATTAGTGTCAAATACTTTTACAATGAAGTGAGCCAACCAACAGAATCTAGAGTGAATAATGAGCTAAAATCTGAAGGCATAGTGAATGTAATAAATATCACAAGGGTATCCTTAATCATTGAAAGTGCAAATTGACCATAAACATGAACTAACGCACATGCCATGACCTTATCCAACTTTTTAATAAAAATTGATCTACTTGAACAATATCATACAACATGATCTTTATGAAATTTTGTTATCACATAAGTTAGTAATTTGGACACTATTTAGAGATGAACTGGTTAATTAACACTAGGCCTGTGCTCTTCATTTAGCCTAGAACAGGTGAGATCTCCAGACGTCGTATGTAAACCTAATACAATCCATATGTATACCTCTGCAGGATCAAGATGCAGTTCATCTTTCAAATAGAAATTGACTGCTAGCCTGGATAGGCCCAAAACCCCTTGAACAAAATATACCATGGCTACAGCAATTGTGTCGGGAGTTAATTGTACGCCGAAGCAACTGACAGACTTCATAGAATATCTTCTCTTGTGACATGCAGTCTTGTTGAATGAGGCAGCATCTTCATCCTCTTTGACAAACAACAAAGCATGAAAGACGATAAATAAATTACATGAGAGAATCTTCATCCCCTTTCTCAAGAATGCAAGCAAAAATTAAACTGTATTAATTTATAGAAGAGCTTCAATACTGGATTCTGTTAAAACCTCAAGGATTAGTATATTTCCACGAGTGAATTACTTCCGTATCTTCCAAATATAGGAGATAAAGAAGATGTGTAACATGATCCTGTCATCTGTTGTCAAGTTCCCCCTTTACATCTCAGCCACAACAACGAAAATCAAAAATCAAAGACGAAAGGGAAAGGAAATAGATTTACGATTGCTGGAAGCCAACAGAGGATCGGAGTCGGAATCGCGTCGGAGGGAGGTGGATGGAACTGAGACGGAGATAGACATGTTTGAGTTCGGAAGCAGGCGGTCGTCTGAATCGGCGGCGGATGACGGACGGCCGGCCGGTGGCAATTAAACAAGGACAAAAGAAATCTTCTACGATGTTTAAAATCTGCTCTCCTCTCTCAACACTAGTGCCTCCCACTCGATATTCGCATTGGCCCAATTCATAGCTCACTCACATGAATCTGAATTTTCATTTAAAGATCCAAATTAATCAACCACATTTGACCAATACGTTAGCTCATCTCCAATTCTTGTCTATAAAGTCCAAATTCTCATCTCTACTTCATAGACTTTAGAGTAAACAAAGAAAAGTAGAGTAAAACAAAGGAAAAAAAAATCAATTTCGAAAAGTAATGAATGAAATATACTGTTTAGAATAGAAAGTAGGGATCTTCTACAGTCAGGTCATGGTTGTACCTATCTAACATCAGGTAACCCCCCTTTTCACCGTTGGATTGACTAAGATATGACAATGAACGATGGATTGAAGGGTACAAGGGAAAAAAGAATTTTGGTAGTCTTGTACTCTCTCTCGTACCCCTCGTACTTGTAAATTCCTATTATACCCTTCGTACCACTTGTACCTATTTTATTTATTCTCAAGCCCCCATATACTTTTGTAAATTACATAACAATCCTACAAATTTAAAACAATTTCATCACAACCTAAAATTATATTTTAAGATT